TACGGAATTATGCATAGTCAGGAAACAATAAGTCACCTTACTCCTGATCTAGCTGTCTTCCTCCCATCTTTGAACCAAACAAATTCTGGAGGGAAGTGGCCAATTCTAACTTATTTCAGGTGCCACCTTTTCTCCCAGGTTTGAAGTTTTTTCAACCACACAATGCATGTCAGTAGTTTCCAAAGTTCCAATTGCCGTATGTGGAGCATTTGAGCAGCAAAAATCCAACGCTCTTGCCCTTGCACTTGTATCACTTTTCACACAGCATACTTTTGGGATAATTGAATTGAAGCATCATTTTTGATTTTCACTCGCTATCATTGATTCACTGGAGATGGGACGATATTAGCATATTTGTATTTTAATTTTTTTCTTTTTTTTTTTTTTTTTTTTTTTTTTATATCTTAACCTTGGGTGAAAGAGAGATTATTGGATGAATATATTGTCCTTTACTTATAATTGATTTTAGTCTTAAGTTTAGGTCTCCTATTCATTTTAGTAGTTCAAAAGCTTATTGACAGACTCTACTATGATTTTTTAGATATGAAGATCTATGCTGTATTATGATGCTACTGGATGCTAGTGGTTGGTTTAACTTCTGATTTGGTTTTCATAAGGAATAAGATGTCTTTATTGTACTTGCTTCATAAGAGTTCCTTAGTAACTGGGTCTCTCGCAATAAGAGTACTTTTTAGTGATTGGCTCTCTCGCAATATATTAGGAATGGGAGAACATCATAGGAGGTCTTTGAGACATTTGTGCCTAAAATATGGAGTGAAGATCTTAAATACCGGCAATTTCTTCTTTTGGGTATATGAAATCAATTCTTGAATGGGATTTAAGTGGAGACACAACCCTTTTAGTCCTTTAGCTGCAGTAATTTTTTAAGTTCCATTGTTACGCAGACAATCAGTCTGCAAATTGTAGAGTGCCTGTTGCATTTGCCATTTGGGTTTTGTAGTACTGAATGACTTGTTGTTATACTAGTATGTCCAGTGTTTGTTTTCATTTGAAAGTGATTTTTTCCCCCTAATCTGCAAACCTATGGGTCATTGTCTTTTCGAGTCATGTTATATTTTTTTAAACTATAAAAAAAACTAATTTCTTGGCAATCCATAATAACTGTCCTTAAAATATTATCAAAAGGGGTTCTTTAGTAAACTAAGTCTTTCGTTCTTGGGCATAAAAAAAGATGAATACATGACTATTTCACAATAGCATAGGCATTAACATGTCTTTCTTGGGACTTGCGGCACTTCCCTTTACCCAGCTTTATGGTATTCTACTACTCTGTAATATTAATAAGCCCAGATGGCATCACACTTAAAGTGTGGTATTACATGTTTTTTTTTTTTTTTAATTATATTTTTAATTTTTTTTGGTTTGGTTATGTGAAGCATTGGGTTGGCTTTTGGCTATCTTCTTTTTAGTTTGATGTTGCTGGAGCCTTATGCAGCTTTGATAAACGGAATTTTTTTTTGTCTTTTTTTCAGGGCTGATTATTCTGGTTGGTGATTTTTTTTGAGGATGGCTGAAGTAAGGCATCAACCAATGTCCAATGAATTACACTTCTTTCTTGGTATTATTAATGTACTAATTTTCAAGCAATAGGATGGTGCTGATCTTGTTGTTTACTTGTCATGCTTACAGGAGGGTCACAGAGTCACTTTGAATGTCTATGACTTGAGCCAGGGACTTGCTCGGCAACTTTCTACCACTTTTCTTGGGAAAGCCATTGAAGCTATATGGTATGTGTCTATGTGATATGTTGTATACTTGGATCTATCACAGTAAATAAGCGATCCTATAGTATCTGATTTGCAACTGCTCTATTTAGAATGGATATAGTAGTACTTTCTTTGTTTCATATTAGTTGACACGTTGTAGGCATGGTTTTCCAATGCATGATGTCAAACATCAATACCTTCAATTATCAATATAGTAGGCATAAAATATAAATAGTTGATATTCAGAAAATACACTTCAGCTGGTTGAGATGAATCTAACTAGAACTTTCATGACTGTTTTTATAATTATGTAATTGTATATTACAAAAGGATGTCAAACCACCTTATGTGAATAGTGCTGAAGTCTAAACGTTTCCACCAATATGAAGCAGAGGAATCATATCATAACATGCTTAACAAGGAACCATTTTAGTTGTAGACTACCATTTTTCACTAATAAAATGCAGAGGAATTTTTTCATAACATATTTAACAAGAAACCATTTTAGTTTTAGACCAGCAAATACTTGTGAAAAGTAGTGATCTGTGGTGGCTTTGAAGTTCTCCTTTCGCTTGCCAATGACTTTCCGGTGTGATGAGACGAGAGATGGGAAGATCTTTAAGGATATTACTTATTAAAACTCCAAAACAAGAGATTAATATAGATAAGAACCTTTTTCAATATTCATGCTTCTTAAGGTACTCATGTGATGAGGAAAGAGATAGAGAGAAACTGCTTACTATGCCAGAAAAAATGATATACTACCTCCGTTCCAATTTATTTACAACATTTACTTAAAATAAATTGATACTACAAATTATTTGCAACAAATGCTTTCTTTCCTTTTTTACTTTTCATTTCTTTCTCTCTCTCTCCTCATCACATGCAACTTTATTTTTCTCTCTCCATTTACCACTCACAAACAAATTTACCTAGATTTTGATGAATGTCACATCGTTGCAAATAAATAGAAATAGAGGTATTATAATTTTTTTTTATATAATAATGTAAAAAATCTCAAAAGAGACCAAAATTAAAACTGTAAAGATAATGTCTACAGAGGGAGTATACTTGCCCTTCATCTGTATCACACTGCAGTATTTAGGATGAAAGAATGCGGAAATACCATGGATGGGATTGTTTTGAATCTTTTGATGTAGCTAAAGTGCAATATAGGAAATCTGGCTGGATATCTTTTTTTACTTGAATTTTTCTATTTCAGGCACACCGGAATTGTAGTTTATGGTAAGGAGTACTTCTTTGGAGGAGGAATACAGCATGCTCCTGCTGGATCAACACAATATGGGACACCAATGAAAGTTGTAGAATTGGGGATCACATATGTGCCACAAGATGTGTTTGAAAGTTACCTGGAGGAAATCAGTGATCGTTACACTGCTGAAACTTACAGTTTACTTTCCCACAATTGCAACAACTTCAGCAATGAGGTTGCTCAATTTCTTGTAGGAACATCCATTCCAGATTATATTCTTCAGCTTCCTAATGAAGTTATGAGTAGCCCCATGGGTGCTATGATATGTAAGTTGTCATTCCATTACATTGACTTGTATATCATTGCTGTGTCCTTTTCTGTTATCACCTTAACTGTTTTTGCTGGTGCGTCCTCTCTTCTCAAATCTGTCCTTTACCATTCCTATGTGTACTAAACACTGTTTTGTTTTAACAACTTTATGAATTTTATTGTTGATGATTGACTTTTTGTTGAATTTAGTGTTGTTGAGATCTTTTCAAAATGATTTGCATTTAAATTATTTCATCCAAGCTGATTCTAGACTAATCTGGTTATTTTGGAGTTCTGTGACTTGTTTTCATACTTGGTATCCCTCTGAATGTAGGCTAATGAAGTTATGTGGTACATTTCTGAGATTTTGTTGTGATATTGAAGTATATTGATTTATCAAAGCTGAAGTTCTAAATTGTGTTATGAATATATCAATAGTTGATGTTTGTTTATTTATCAATACTTGATGTTTGTTTATATCTATCAATAGTTGTTATTTTTATTACCTAACCAAAGCTGACGGACTTTGCAACCTTTGTTCACAGTGCCTATGATTCAGCAACTAGAGGCAACAATGAAAGCAGGGGCGGTTCCTCAAGCTCCTCAGTTCAGACCATCATCATTGGGGCAGGCCGCAACAAGTGTTACTAGCAGTCAGAGCAAGTCCTCAAATGTGTCTGCCAAAGCAACCGAGAGCAATAGCAAATCTCAGGAGCAATCCGACAAAAAGGAGGAAGCAAATACATCTCAGAAGACTCTAGATAAAGAAGTGCCTCCTGCTGTTCAGCCAAAGGGAGCGCAAGACACATCGGCTGATCCAGCAGAAGACCCTCTTGGTAATGCCAGAGGTAAAGTGCAAGAGGAGATAACCAGAGAATTTGCTGCTCTCATGGCAACAGGGACTCTGAGGGCAAGTGAGGCCGCTGCTCTAGCAACTCGTAAAGTGATGGAGAGATATGGAAAGTTAAATGTTGCAATGTCTTAGAAACAATTATCTTATTATCATTTTTTTAATTTTATTTTAAATTTTAACTTAATTAAATCTATATGATAGATTGCTACATAGCTTTTTCCCTGTTGAAGTGTAGTAGTGTAGTATTAACTGCTTTGACACATTGCATTGGATACTGGTTAGTCATTTTGATAACGCTTTAATTCAAATTCATAGAAAATGCAACTATATTTTTTAAGGGAACTATTTGATCTTAATTGAACTAAAAGGTTTCTTTACTCTCAGTTAATGTTTAGATGTAACTTAGTTGAATTAAATTAAATTTATCTACCAAATGTAAAAATTTATTTTAGTTATAAATTAAATGTGGGTCTTCTTAACACTTGTCTAAGCTTAACTAGTTAGATTTATCAACTCTCCGAATTATATGGAGTTTGAGTGGCTAAATTATAATCAATTAACTCACGAGAAAAACAATTCAATTAGTAATACAATTTTGAAACAAATCAGGTCAAGAAAAAAGTGATTAAAAGCATTCTAGCAACTTAGCAAGATACTCAGTCCCCAATGAGGTCTAACTAGAACAGAATACCATTTATTAGAACGAGTATATTGATTAAAATAATTCGATTTTACATTTGATTATCTTAATGTGAGACAATAAAGCATCTGTTCTTGTAGATACTCTACCAACAAAGAAAAAAAAAAAAACACCTCAAGTTTCTTCTGATGTGAGACAATAAAGCATCTGTTCTAGTTAGTTTTGATTTCATAGTTATCTGCGATTTCATATTTTCATTGCAGTTCAACCAACTGTTCACTCAAAATTTTCCAAATGTTGGATTGTGTTCTTTCTAATTTGTCAAATGGGTGAAATTTTGATTTAGGGCAAATCCATCTTAGCCAACTCCCAAATATCATTCTAATGTTAATATTTTGATTTTTGAAGATTCATAGTGAATAGTGACCAATTTTGTGCCACACATATAACCAATCAAGTACATTCGAGGTAAATTATTTGAAGATCAACCAGCAATGGCTTAGTTATATTTTTTTTTCTTTTTACATTTCATAAAATTTCTTGATAAAAATTCTTAGTAGCATCTATATGTCACTGAACTATATCCACAAAAAATAGATACAAGGCTATCTAGTGTACAAGTGTAATGGACTCTGAGTAGAAGTTGAAACTGTTCAATAATGGCCAAGCATTGGCTGAAATCTAGCGTAAATCTGCCTCTGATGGAGAGGTAGAACCATTTCCCGGGATGGTGTTCAGCATACTCTGGCAGATATCGAGTGTAATCCTTAGAGAAACCTAAAGTTCTTCTGTGGTGTCTGATAGGACATGGTTCTGATGGTGAGTTCTGTTTTCTAACTCCAAGGTAGCCTCCTCGGACTGACTACATACATCTGAAGGAATATTGATGCCAGCAAACCCAGCCATGACAGCTGCAGCTCCAATGTAATCCATTGCATTGGGAGCGTTGCCCACCAGTGTATCAACCAAAGCTGCCAAAGGTACCTGAATTGTGAGACCAGCCGTTGCCACTGTTGTTGTCGTCAAAAGAACAGCTTTGGCCCACAAGTAGTCACTCAAAACATTATCAAGCAAACCTGAAATTAGGAACACGGTAACATATTTATCAGAATAATGTTTCATTTTTTCTTTTAATTTTTTTTTTTTTTTTTTGACGCAATGTTTCAACTTTTTTGGAACTCACAGGCTACCAAGCCACAAAGTGCTCTAATTCAACTAATGCATCAGTCTTTCGGACACCAAAAGTCTAAAAGGGTGGTTAGGATAGTGGGAGAGGGAAATGACCTAAAACACAGTTAACTGCAGTTACTACACCAGAGCATTTCAATGAACAACCTTAGACACTAAGCAAGGACTTTAGGAAATAGAAAAACCTTGCAATTTTCCCAGCCAAAATAAAAATAAAAATAAAGAACTGGACATGACCCTCAGCATTGAAAGGGCAAGCCGGCAAGGCATAGTCTCACTAATCACACAACCTTCCAATGCAACTTATCATTTGAAAACTCTCAGATCTGCCCCAGGAGAATGCAAAAAAATTTAAACAATTCACGAGTGCTTGCTTGCCGCCTAGTCATGTGAAATTCTTTCAAACATACAGCACCACTTCATAAGTTCATGTCAAAAGGCAGAGTCCTTCATACAATGCCATGACCATCCTCAAATCCTGGCTTTTTCCTATTTCCTTTTCCATTTTAATAACACGTTTCAGATCTAAGGCGTACAGGATTTAACCTTCATAGCTAATTAGTTTAGATAACTTTAATAAGTTCATAGATCAAAAGCTAATGAGTTTAGATAACTTTAGTTCAGGATTTATTAGTTCCTTGACGAGTATAAACAAAAAAATTCAGTCTAGGGCTAACAAGTTTAGGCATGTTCAAATAAGTTTTGTAAGTTCAATTGAAATAGGTGAAAAAAAATTCAAACATGATTTCTTTCAAAATCAAAATCTTCTAAATGTTCTGATCTGCAGATTCATTTCATTTCACACAGCTGCTAATAGCTAAAAAGTACATTGCAAGTGCTTCGATGCGTCCATTTTTTTGGTAAGTATAAATTTTTGTTTAGTAGCTCAACTTCTCAAGTGATGATACAAAGCAGGGGAAAAAAGTCCACCATAGATCAAGGCAATAGGAAAGAAGAACTCAAATTTCGCAATACATTAAAAAGGGACTTAATAGGAAATAGGAATTGCCCCATGAGCAAACACCATTCGCTCCCATAAAATACCCCAGTATACACCAAAACACCCACATAATGTCAAAAAAGCAACCTGCCACAAATGTTTATGCCCCTTTCTCCTAATGAACTTCATAAATTATATCAGCAAAGTGTAGATGACCTTGAAGAGTAAAGGGGGCGGTCCAATGCAATAACAAATAATTCCATGTCTCCTAATTAGCAAGACATAACATACACATGAGAGGGGATAAATCGCTTCTGTGGTCTCTGAGCTTGCAGATCATCACAAGTACTAAGAATTCCCAGATAAGCAGCACTAATAAAAGCCCACCTGTTATGGAGCCTTAGCCTTTCAAATGAATTTAGAAAAAGGGGAGGATTGTCAATTTGGCGTTCTGAAGGTGGATATAAAAGGAACCCAGGAATCAGTCTAAAGGATTCCAAACAAGGTAGTAAGCTACTAAGTTCAGCGAGTTTCCAATCATGGAGATTTCTTCTAAAAAGAAATTTAAAGAGTTCACTTTTACCCACCCAAAAGTGTTAATTAGGAGTATATTTATTCACGAATTTGTCAGCTGAAAGAGAGGAGAAAAGGAACCAAAAGATGCTATCCTGCTCAAGAATACGCCCGATATGCTCTATATTACCCTTGTATTCGACCAAGGTAAAGAAGATTAAAGAGAAATGAATGCAGTGAAACAACTTCCTTGGGTCTGTAATAAACTATCCTAAGGAAAGGGCAACATGGTTAGTCTAGTATTATTAGGTTAAAAGTCTTTAGCTTTAGTATAAATAGAGAGAGGGAAGAAAGGAAAAGGTAGGCAGAATTTGGAATGAATCATTTTGAGAGTTGTGACCTCAAGTCACTATTAGTAGAGTAGTAGCCTCAAGCTACCTTGGAGATTTGCAACCTAAAGTTGCAACTCCGGTAGGGTGTAAAAATCAATCTTTTAATCAAATCAATCTTTTTCTCTCTATTTTCCTGTTATTTTGTGTGAGTAATTTCGCAGTACTTTCAGTCTATTACAGGGTCAAAATAACCAATCTGACATCCTGTTATCACATCCAACCAAGCCTTAAGATTACTCTGTACCAGGCATTAGCATAAACGCCACTATTGCTTCCGATTAAGAACCAAATATATTTAGAACCAAGGCCACCCTCGTCCTTAGAGCTACAAACACTATTCCACAACACAAAATGATCCCTCTTCCCCTAAACTATCCTTAAACACAAAAAACTCACAATAAGCCTCTTGAGTCTCCTAGAAACACCCATAGTAAGCTTAGAAAGGGAAATAAAAACAAAGGTAGATGGGCAAGGTAACTTCCAAGCAACCTTTTTAAACAAGTAGGTCCTAAAAAACCATGAGGATTATTCCCAAATGGAAGGTGTAAGCAGGAGGTAAATCACAACAAATACAGCCAGCCAAAGAAGAAAGCCTAAGGACAGTGGGAAGGATATAAACTCCAGAATAAATCAATGCTTAGAGCTGGGAGCAACTCAAAAATCTATGAGACATCCCCACCCCTTCCCATTCTATATGAAAACCATAAAAGGAAAAAAAAAAACAACTCTTCTCCCATAGAAAGCATAAAATTGAAAGAGGATCACCCTGTCAAAGCCTGTTTCCCCGCAGTTTAAATTGTAAAAACAAAAGCTCCCTAGTTCATTTCCTCCATGGATCACAAGTAGCCACAAACACCTCTTAGGCTGTCCTTTTACTATCACTGAAAAACACGAAATAACCCTGAATCCATCTCCTCCAAAGGCCAAAACCCTTTAGATCAAACCAAAATCAAGCAGTATATTTTTGAAAATACAGTGTGACACTAGGGCATGTAGCCAAGTCCAAGTAACAAACCCATTTTTGAATCCTACAAACTAAAATATACTGAGTATGTGGTGATGGCTGGCTGACCTCAACAAATCATACGGTCAAGGAAACATAGAGATAGCTCAGATCAGATAGGTTGTCATAGTATGCAATAGACAAACTTTGATGACTGCCCTAAGGCCTGTAACCTCTGTTATTTTCTAAACCTATCTATCTAGGCTTATTTATCGCCTCTTGGGCCCTTAATTGAATCCTCATCGTTGTAAAACTGAAAAGTTATTTATGGCAAGTAGGATCTGAGCAATAAGGAAAAAGGTGATACAGGATCCAGACTGTGTACAAGATGCATCGTAGATATAAATGCTAGGTTGATTTACCAAAGGAATTTACTTTAACTACTATCTGCAAGACATGTATTTTGTACAGCTACATCGCAATCATCAATGCAGTATCTCACTTATGTTTTTAAGAGGTGGGGGAGAGAAAGAGAGAGAGAGAGAGTGGGGGGGGGGGGGAGTTGATGTAAAAGCAGATAGCTATGAAAGAAGGATCATGTGTTTCAACTTCAGGCTTTGCATACATGCAAGGAAGACATGGATAACCCATCAAAAAAAGAAAATTACTTGGAAACATACCTTTGCCTATAATCAAGCCAAACTGCTTCCAGGTAAATGTGGTAAAAAATTCCACCTTAGCCAAATGCAATACAAGCACAACAGGTAGGAAAATCACCATGTTGAAAAATCCCAGATACCCCAGAAACTGTGCCATGCTAGCTTGACCGCTTTTCTCATCATCAGGCAACTTTTTACGAAGGAGTGTTATATATACAGCATATAGACCAGCTGAAGAAAGAGACAATATATCTCCAAGAATAGGATTCGAGTTGATTGCACCCTTTCCTGCTTCCTTGTCACCCAAGCTGACAATAATTGTTCCTCCCATGCAAAGAAGTACACCCATGAGCTTCAACCAAGTGAACTTCTCGCCCAAGAATGCCAGAGAGAGCATAAAGGTGAAAAGGCTAGAAGACGTGCTTAAGATTGTATTTGACTGCAGAAGTTAGAGATACAGTTTAGGCACCTATGCAATGTTCTTCAAACATAACATATAATCAAAAAAAGAAATATATCCAAGAAAGTGAAAAGGAAAGGACAAAGATGGGAGGATTTGTTCTTACAGTGACTGTCGTATACTTCAGCGAAAGGTTAAAGGTAAGCTGTGCCAAAAACCAAAATGGGCAGATCAATAGGCTGACTCTTGCTACCCTAGAGCGTGTCCAACGTCCCTTTGAATCTAGTTGTTTATCAAGATCTTCATCAATTCTAACTTGGCCAGGCAAATCATTTTCCTCTTCAAAATTTGGCTCAGGACCAGATTCTATAGAGCTTTGATTAGTTTCTTCTTGGCTAATACCTAAATGGGGATTTAAACCACTTGTAGGCTCATCTAAATCACTTTTCCCAAGAAGGACAGCCTCCTCAGAACGAGCTAATTCTTGCAAGCCAACTTCTACTTTTTTCCGCCAAAAGCAAAATCTCCCATTATAACCTTCCAAATATCTTGAAGCTTCCACAAGAGGGATATAGACTATAAACAATGAATTACAAATGTATGTGATGAGGAAGGGCGAAATTCCTTCATCAACAACAGATTGAACCACGTAGCTAGCAGCAATCCAAATACCGGCCACCGCCACAATGTATATCAAACCTATAATCCATCTCGAAACCTCAGTTCTCATAGTCCACACACCTAAGCTACAAAACTCTCTAAAACTAGAGATAGCATCAAGCCGAAATACCCAATTACCGTCACACTCAAATACTACAGCCTCATTATCATTGGTGTAAACAACGAATATGGATCAACTATCACCTGAATTATGCAGGAATTGATCAAAAAAAGGGGAAAATTACAGTCAAAACATAGAATAATTATAACTCAGCACCAACACAAACAACAAATTAATTTTAGGTCCAAGGAAACAAAAAAAAAACTTAATACTACACTGTTAAAACAAGGTTATGATTCAGTGAAATACATATACCCAGAAAAACGAATTAAGCCGAATTTAGCAAAAAGCACAGAAACCCTACTAAAAAAATCAAATCTTTTGCATTGGGACATAGATTATAGTTTTGATAAAAAATCTAAAGACCCAACATATCAAAATCAAATATAACGCGAATTGCAGCATAATATCTTCAAAAATTATAACTTCTATAAAGATGAACATAGGGAAATTATCAAGTTTAATTAGCATTAAATAAAGTACGCACCTGTCTTGGGTGAACCCAGAAGCGATTGCTGAATCAGAAAGATTAAATTTTTTGATTGAATGTCGGTAGAAAATAAGAATTAATCGGAAAAATTGGGGAGAGAGGGTGATCTGGGTTTGATTCAATGTAGAATGTTCAACCATGAAACTGATGAAAAAAATTAGAGTACGGAGTATTTTTCAAGTCTAGTTAAGTAATAAATTTTGGGTTTGAGATAGATTGTTATTGTCGTATTGAGATCGGAAAAGATGGAATTTTAAGTTTTATTGGCAGGAAAAGTTAATACTCCGTACCTGTTCACGGATCGAAATCCGATATCCGATTTGATATCCAAATCCCATTCAAATATCCAAAATTTTTGTATAGATGTTTCGCATATCCATTATTCAATACTTCCTCTGTTTCTTAATAGATAACACAGTTTGACTTTTGCACTATTCACAAACAACACTTTGACTAGCTTTTGTGATTTGTAGCTACGATAAAACATAATCATGTGGGATCTTGTTTGAATCGTCTTAATGTATATTTTATTAATATCCACTTTTTATAATTTTACAATGTTGATAATGGGAGATATAACTCGTGAAAATTCTGCGTTGGCAAATGTGATAAAAGAAACGTGTCATCTATTAAGGAACGGAGGAAGTATTAAGTAAAATTAATTATGATTATTTTCTAAATTTCACTAATTTTACCGTTTTTTTTATCACTGTACAACATATTTTAACAAAATAGTAGTCTTTTTGCAATAAAAATTATCATCAAATATATTAAGAATATTATAATTAATTAATAATAAGGATTAGTTTTATATGAACAATTTAAATTTTTATATATATTTCACTATTTTAGCCTTTATATTTCGGGTATCGGATATCCGAAATTTTGAAAATCGATATCCAAATCCGCATCCAATATCCGCTTTGTATTATCGAATAATACAATAATACGATCCGCAACCGACCTGAATTTTTGGATATTCGATCCGAATTTTCATACTAGTATAAGAAAATAAATAAATTTACTATATTAACGTTAGTCCTCTACTAGTTTCATTGTGTGTAATTTTTTTGATGTCTCCCACAAGTTTTGAATCAACATGTTTGATAAAGCTACCCACCTTTAGGAATTGGGCAAGATCTCCAAAATTGATTTCTTACCAAATTTATACATGGTTTAACAAGTTGTGTAATATCTTCAATACTATAAGTTTCTAAGTTATTATTGTTAATTCGTTAAGTACAATTTTATCCATAGTTATTATCTTCAATATTATCTTATGTGACGACTACTCCCCAAAGATAACACAACTAACTTCCAACTGTTTGGAACTTCATTTCCTCAATTGAAAGGAAATTAATGTGAAGAGAAATGTGTATAAGTCATAGGTTTATACATATTTTTAATATTAAAGTTGAGGCCAAAATATTATTTTGTAGGAGAGAAAAAAGGTATACATAACAAGCAAAATTTACGCTCATTTGTCTAGAGATCGCCGCCTGACACCATCCTTAACGGAAATTTTCCCTATTGGGCGGACAAATTTAGAAAATACTCCTTATATTCTATGTGCAAACATGCTAGTTCTACCCTATAAGGCATGAAGCTGCCCTATAGGGTGGACGATAAAGAACAATTCGATTAATTGTATTTCCTTATTTTGTTTTGAGGGATTGTGCAGTGTTTCTTAAATTCACTTGTTATATTTCCAACCTAGCATCTCATGAATGTAATTACCACCCATTTTCCCATTCTACGCTGCCTTCTCTGCAGAAGGTGTTAGGGTTGGTGAGTGCACAGCGGAAGCGAAGATGTGTTTGATTGAGAAATATAAACTAAATTGATAATTGACAAGATAATTAATATAAATAAACACACGATTTTATACAACAACGAGCACTTTTATTCCACTATTCGAAAGTATGAGAGTACAAGAACCCTTGAGAGGGTGATTATTACAAGAGAACTCTCACTATAAGAAAGTCACAAAGGAGTATTATGATAGTAGTGGAATATTACAAGGAGGGAGAATATTTTGTAGAAAGGCTTGTATTTGGTATGGCTTCTTGTGTTTTTGTGTTGTGTTGTTGTTGTTATGCCCTTGACCCATATTTATAGGTGAGGATGGAGGCTTCTAGATTTTTATGGGAATTTCTCCATAATTATGGCTCTTAATCTAGAGGGTTCTACTTTTAATATTCTCTAGAATATTCTAGGAGATATTAAAGTTGTAGATAACTCTAAAAAAATCAAGTGTAATCTTCTCTTGATTTTTAAGGAAGCTTCTAGATTATACTCCATCAATATAATGGGCTTATAAAATTTGGGCCATACCCAACAATCTCCACCTTGGACCAAATTTTATCTGTGCGCTCGTCGTATGTTACTTGGACCCGTATTATGTGAGCGTTGTTGCCGAGTCCGGATTGAGTATGACGAAGCCATAATAGAAGATCCTTGTAATACATAGATATTTCTATGTCTGATGGCCTTCAATATTTCTTGAGCACCCTTGGAGACTTTGAGTGCTCCACCTTGAGCCGAAATCTTATATCCTTTTGAGTCCAGAATGCCAACAGAAATGATATTCTTTTTCAGATCAGGAACATGATGAACATTAGACAAAGTCCTGATCACACCGTCTTGCGTCTTGATCCGTACGGAGCCAACACCACGAACTTTGCAATGATAACCGTTACCCATTGTAACAGTTTTATTCTTTACCGGTTGATAGTCGGTAAAGTGAGACTTTTGAGAACAAATATGGTTGGCAGAACCCGAATCAAGTACCCAATCAGAATTTTTATTTCTTCTTGGTGAAGTAGCTAAGAGAACTTCATCACCGGACTTTATTTCTCCAAAACCGGCTTCTGCCGTCTCTTTCGGCTTTTCCTCTTGCTCTTTCTTTTCGAGCTTTTTATTTGCAAACCAGCATTCTTCAACTGTGTGCCCAAGTTTCTTGCAAAACTTGCAAGATTTTCCGGATTTGTGTCCATTAAATTTGGACTTCTTATTGGTACTTTTACTACCGTGTGATCTCCCTTGTATACTTAAACCTTCGGCATTTTCATTAGAATGAACTTCAAGGTCAAACTTTTCTTTTGAGAGTAAGTGAGATTTAACATCCTCAAAAGAAAGAGTATCACTATTGCTATAAAGCATAATTTCCTTGAAGTGTTTATACGAAGGTGGTAGGGAGACAATTAATAACACGGCCTTATCCTCATCTTCGATTTTAATATCTAAATTTTCCAGATCAATTATAATTGAATTAAATTCATCGAGATGAGTTTGAATAGAAGTACCTTCGGCCATTCGAATTGTATAAAGCCTTTCTTCAAGTCGAAGCTTGTTAGCGAGGCTTTTAGTCATATATAGTGACTCTAACTTCAGCCATAGGTCAGCTGCTGTGTCTTCATGGACAACCTCGCGCAGTACCTCCTTGGTTAAACATAGTTGGATTGCCGAGAGGGCTTTTTCGTCCAACTCTTGCCATTGCTCGTCTGTCATTGACTCTGGTTTTTTAGCTTTTCCATCCAAAGCCTTCTTTAATCCGCTCTGTACTAGAACGACTTTCATCTGGACTTTCCAGATGCTGAAATTAATCTTGCCGTCAAATTTCTCAATCTCGAACTTCGTGATCGAAGACATCTTTAATGTGTAAACACTCTAATCAACCTTTGGCTCGGATACCACTTGTTAGGGTTGGTGAGTGCACAGCGGAAGCGAAGATGTGTTTGATTGAGAAATATAAACTAAATTGATAATTGACAAGATAATTAATATAAATAAACACACGATTTTATACAACAACGAGCACTTTTATTCCACTATTCGAAAGTATGAGAGTACAAGAACCCTTGAGAGGGTGATTATTACAAGAGAACTCTCACTATAAGAAAGTCACAAAGGAGTATTATGATAGTAGTGGAATATTACAAGGAGGGAGAATATTTTGTAGAAAGGCTTGTATTTGGTATGGCTTCTTGTGTTTTTGTGTTGTGTTGTTGTTGTTATGCCCTTGACCCATATTTATAGGTGAGGATGGAGGCTTCTAGATTTTTATGGGAATTTCTCCATAATTATGGCTCTTAATCTAGAGGGTTCTACTTTTAATATTCTCTAGAATATTCTAGGAGATATTAAAGTTGTAGATAATTCTAGAAAAATCAAGTGTAATCTTCTCTTGATTTTTAAGGAAGCTTCTAGATTATACTCCATCAATATAATGGGCTTATAAAATTTGGGCCATACCCAACAGAAGGTATTGTCTTAATCACAAAGGTACATAGGCAATTACACATTCCTCAATCAGATTTGAAAGTACACGCCTGGCGTACAGAACGTAGGACACTGGCACCACAACAGCAAAGTATTATCAACATTGTACTGCATTGCATAATATATAAGTTGAGCTTGTTTAACTTCTAGAAAAGACGTTTATTACTGTTTGTAAAAATTTCATTAGAAATTTGAGCATTCTGCCCACATATATCATTATACAGATTTGTCTTTCCGGAGTTAAACAAGTCCACACATGTAGAGCTCAACTGTCAACACACCACTTTCCCTCTCATATATGCATTTGTATCCTCGAAACAAAAAAACTGCACAATTTGGCAAACCCAAACTCCAACACACATTGCACATACGTAACAAATTTGTTATACTGCCTTAGGTTGCATTATGCATTGCTATTAGCAAAGTCAAACCATAGGACAAAAAGTGAAAAAAAAGATTTATGTTGTTGAGTTATAGCTAGTAGCCCGGGATAGAGCAGCGTGAGTAGAGCCCCATTCCATGGCTTCTGCTAATGCTCGCTGGCGCTCTATAGCACTCTGATCGTGATGTCCTTGGACATGGTGGTTGTTACAGTCGGTGTATTCACTGACAGGAGACCCATCAGGAGAAGTATAGCCATCATGTGGGTCTACTGTCAGATAATTGAGGGCGGTCACCACATCACTCATATAGGGCCGTGCATTTTCTTCTTCCTGAAGGCACATGGCTGCTATTGCCACAGCCTGGTTTAAGCCCCTCACTGGAAAATCCCCATCAAGAAGAGGATCAGCCAACTGTGGGTATTCTATTGGATTACTGAAGTATGGTTGTGCCTGCATATTAAGTTTCGCAAGTAAGAGAATGCATAGTGTAAGAAGCTTTCTTGTTCTAAGAAAAGAAATCTTAGATACTATAGCAAAGTTTTGTGATGTTTAACTGACAATAATTCAGTATTAACAATCTTTCTTTAATTTAGAGAGTAATTTGTTTAAGACTGTTATCTTCATTCAATTAGGTGATGTTAATTAAGATTCTAGACATGTTTCCCTTGATTCTGGGAGGAGGGGGTGGGGGAGGGTTTGTGTCAAAAGAACCAAGAGCTCACCCAAGTGACAAGATTCTGCTCGTGATTTGGTCTATTGGTGTCAATGACTCTTCGCCCTGTAATTAGCTCCAGTAAAACAACTCCAAAACTGTATACATCCGATTTAGTTGTTAGTCGACCTGTTCTTTGGTATTCTGGTGCACAATAGCCATAGGTTCCCATAACTCTAGTAGAAACATGCGAATTTTCCCCTGTAGGACCGAGCTTTGCTAGTCCAAAATCAGAGAGCTTTGCATGGTAGTGTTTCTCTAGCAAGATATTAGATGATTTCAAGTCCCGGTATATAACTGGAGGGTTTGCTGCATCGTGTAGATATTCTAATCCCTTGGCAGCATCCAATGCTATTTTCATTCTATTATACCAATCTAATGGTCTTAGCTCCCGCGAAATATCTGTACAATACAAGTTTTTCACCCACGAAATCAGCCAATAGAGTGCAGGTATATGTGATACAAAGTTAAATTTGAGGTGATAATAATAGGACAAATGATTACCAAACAGATGGTCTTCCAAAGATCCTAAAGACATGTATTCATAAACCAAAAGCCTCTGATCTCCATCAGCACAGTAGCCTATGAGATTAACCAGATTTGAATGATGTAGAAGACTAAGCATCAGAACCTCAACAAGAAATTCTTTATTCCCTTGCAACCCATTTCGATCGAGTTGCTTTACTGCTATTGTCTGAAACCAAACATTAAAATAAAATAATCAGCAAGTAGCTCAACTAAAAAAGTTCACTTGAGAAAAATGAAATTAGTATTATAAGTGAGACCATAAAAGAAAACGCAATGAATTGACAGACAACTAAAATATACCTGTCCATTTGAAAGTTGGCCCTTGTACACTCTTCCAAACCCACCTTCACCTATCAGACATTCTGGACGGAAATTCTTCGTTGCAGTCGCGAGCTCTCTGAATGTAAAAGTCTGTGCTGCAATATTATTGTCCCCATTTTCCCTATATTCATTTTTATTATAAGTTGTTTCTCTAGCTCCCTGAGTTTCTGCTATAAAAAACAGAGCTAAAATATAATATCTGCCAATTTTTTGTTGCATATTTTAAAAGATACTGATGAATGATGATATACAACTATTACAAGCCAGCAACAAACAGCAATGTTCTGCAACTACTAACAGTTAATAAAACAGAAAATAAAGATTGCCATTTTATTGACTCTGACACAAAATTACTTCAACTTCAGAATTCTGATTAGTACATATAGAAGGCAATGTAAGGAATACAATATGAATCAATTCACAGGTGCAGTGATCCTGAAGCTTACCGTGTCGAGGCGAAGAAACATTCCTTCTGCTATTGTGCCTCAATTTTGCTTTCCTCTGTGATGAAAAGCATGGAAAACAACCCATATTTTACCCTTTCTGGAAAAACCCAGAAATAAAAAATACACAAACTTAAGATAATATCTTATAATTTCTTTGTTAATGTGAAAAAAAAATTTGCTTTTTGGTTGAGGACTTTTATCAAACAAGATGTACGCAGCTGTTAGCAATATAGTATTAAGACTTCTTATTGACAAAATTTGAAATGAAATTAGAAAAAAAACAAAACTTTTTTTCCTCAAAAGTCAAAAATAGAGGAAATTAACATCACATTCAAGTTTGATAATGAAAATTGGAAAAATGAAAGAACTTGGGGTTTTTAATTCAAAATTCAAAAAATTGTTGAGATTTTTGGGGTGTGAAAATGGATTAAATGGTTGACATTTGTAAAAAATGAATCATTTAAAAGAGAAAAAAAAAAATCAAAAGACCCACAAAAACTCAGAAATTAAAACTAAAATTGGAACCAAGAATTCAGGCGAAATGCAGAAATTTTCAGCAATTTAAAAATCAACCTAGATGAATCATGGATTTATATATGATCATAATAATATTAAAAAAAAAAAAAAAAAATAACATGACACTTGATTAAACAAAAAGGAAAAATGAATTGATCAAAGTGGAAAGGAGTCAGCTTTTTTGAGAAAAAATAAAAATAAAAATAGTAGATTGTGCAAAAAGTTGTTGGCTGGAATTTCCGACAAAAATGGAGGGAGGTTAAAGAAGGAACTAAAGAAGTTAAGGAAAGGTATCTCATCAAAACCAAATAAGCGGGGCATTTGGCGGGTAATTATGTTGCCGTGGCATTACAGTATACATAAGATCATAATTAAGTTCGAAATTAATAATCGTGTTGATTGTTTATAGGTGAATGATAATGATACAATTTGATTGGAAGAAGTACTAACAAGTAACAACTAATAAATTACACAAATTTTTATATGTGGCTGGCCACATCGTGTGGCAAGTCATAATGGGGGTTACGTCGTTAGTTTTATTAATGTTATAGGGGTTACTCGATCGTTATTCAGGGGTTACCCGATGAGTATTCAGGGGTTACTTTGTTAGTGTTGCAGGGATTACTTCGTTAGTATGATAGGAGTTACTCGGTCAGTGTTACAGGGTTACTACATCAGTGTTTTAGGAATTACTTTGTTCTTTTAAAAGCGGCCACACGGTGTGGCCAGTCGCACACAAAACACATTGAATAAATTATAACTTAGTGTATCATAAAATTTCAATAATGTTCATCCACCTATTTGTTTTTTCATAATTGGTAATGCATAATTTTTTTTAATTAGCCATGTGTTTAAATTTGTATCACTATGTAGTGAAAATTATAAACAACTCCAACAACATTACATAGATTTAATAAGAAGAAAATAAGAGTGAAGATTTGAAGACCATGAGAAGATAAAGATATAATACTTTGTACGAGTACTAAAGTATAGATGAGGTTCAAATTTTTACAGTATTACGCAGTTGCACCTTAAAAAAAAATCAATTTAGAGAAGTGTTGTTGCAATAAAACAAAAAAAAAAAGGGAGTATCAAAAACATGAACATTAAGCAATAGAGGGGACGAGGGGTAGGGCTGCGCACGGTCCAAAATTGGATTGGGATCGGAACCCGGAATCGCCTGTTTTTGCGGATCGGGGACCGGACTGTAATCAATCGGTCTGGGTTCCGGTCTAGACCTGTTTATTCCGGTCCAGTCCGATTTTGGACCGGAATAGACCAGTTATATTCTTTTCTTTTCTTTTTTTTTGCATTTAATATCTTTATATATACATCATTTTTTAACGTCTTGTTTTTGTTTGCGTGTTTTTCTATTTTGCACCTAAAAATTATAACTTACAAGTTTTGTACCTAAATTTTTTAGAAATTTAAACATAAAATTTAAAATTTTCACAAAAAAAAAAAAAAAACATTTCTGATGCATTCTGGTTTTTACCCGGACCGGACCGAAAACCCGAAATCACCAATTTGTGAGGACCGAAGACCGATTCGGAATCTAGCGGTCCGGTCTAATTCCGGTTCAGTTTCTGGTCTCGGTACTTTTTTTGCAAACCCCTAACGAGGGGTATACCAAGGCTTAGCCATAGACACAACTAACCTACTTGTCATGAAAAAATTAGAACATGGTACAAGCATGGGGCGACACGACAATAGGGGAAGGCACTAAGGCCTAGACAAGTAGGTTAGTCGTAGTTATTGGCTTATTACCCTTATTGGAATATATGTTACGGGTACGTCTTAAAATTAGAAAACTATTTGTTTATACACAAATCATATACTGCAAGCAATGAGATATTGATCCCCTCAAAAAAAAAAAAAAAAAAGTAATGAGATATTGAAAAGAAAACAAGCATTATATTTAGAATGATGCATATGAATGGTTATTGGGTATTGTGCAATTCATCCCTATTTTTAATGATTGAAATTATAGACACCCATAGTCATGTTATTATGCTCTACTCAAGCTTCATGTAGTGGAGAATTTATGCTGCCATCAACGTTGCCATCGGATGAAATGTACAAGATGGCAGCTACTACATCGCTCATCATGGGTCGTACTGTTGAATTTTCTCGAAGGCACATATGTGCCACCGCGAATGTTTGGTAGAATCTTCGAGTTGGAAAAGTCCCCTGCAAAAGCGGGTCTGCTAACTCTAGAACCTTCTTTGATTTCTTCAATATCATTCGATTGGCCTAATTAGGAAATTAAGAAACATTGTTTTTCAAAAGTTTTAGTTCCAGGAAGTTCTGAAGTTAAACTTGCTGCATGAATCTCATGTAAAGCACAATTTTTAATGAAATAAGGAATAATAGTTAGCTTCACATTAGACAGTAAAAGACTAACTACGGTATGAATCAGTAGTCTGCAGTGATGCAGACTGACTACCTCCATCTCTAACTCGCATGAGTAACATAGCTCGTGTTTAGGTGAAGAAAGAGTATGTAATACTCTCTCTGTCTCTAAAAGTTTTTTGAGATGCAGACTACCTCCATCTCAAATTTCACGAGTAACATAGATGCAAAATGAATAGGAAGCAATCTTTTTGTTATGAAAATGGATTGAGATGGAGGTAGTTTGCGCCTTAAATTTCATGAGTAACATAGATGTGAAATAAATAGGAAGCAATCTTTTTGTTATGAAAATGAATCGAGAGGAAAACTAACCCAATAGGACAGCTCCTGCTCCTTAGTTTCCCTTATGATGTCGACAGCTCTTCGCCCTGTGAGCAACTCTAACAAAACAATTCCAAAGTTGTATACATCTGCCTTGACAGACAAAAAACCTCGTTTCACATACTCCGGTGCAATGTAGCCAAATGTTCCCCTAACTCTCACAGAAACATGTTCCTTATCACAAATAGGTCCAAACTTAGACAGGCCGAAATCAGAGAGCTTAGCATTATAGTCATTGTCTAGTAAGATGTTGCAGGGTTTCAGGTTGCGATATATGACTGGAGGGTTGGCCTTATCGTGCATATATTCTAAGGCTTTAGCAGTCCCCAGAGCTATTTTCATTCTCGTGTGCCAATCTAAGGGTGGCATTTGCAGGGATAATCTGTCTGAAATTTCAAAATGACTAAAGTTTTTATAAAAACAAAAAATTTGACTCTGCTAGGATTGCATCAGATAACAGCTTAAGAGAATTCGACAAAATATTACCGTGCAGATGCTTGTCTAAGGATCCCAAAGGCAGATACTCGTGAATAAAAAATCTGTCATTTCCTCGAGTACAGTATCCTATAAGATTGATCACATTTGGATGATTAAGGAGGTTCAACATCATCACCTGTACATTAAATTCACTATCTCCTCGTGATCCATTTCTGTCCAAATGTTCGATTGCTACGATCTAAGAATAAATTATCCAATGTCAGTCTTCCCACATGAAGAATGTATATGAAAGGGAGCAAAGCCAAAAAGAACAGCAACAAATTTTACTTGAGCTAAAAACCGGTCAGAAATTAAAAGTTTATATGTTAATGAAGGTACATGTTTATAATATACCTCTCTTGTTTCTCCGAGTTTTCCTCTGTAAACATTGCCAAAGCTGCCTACATTCACCAGACAATTCCGACTGAAGTCATGTGTTGCATCAGCTAGCTCTCTGTAAGTATAAATGTCGGCGATAGGTGGACCACTGTCATTGATAGCTCTTTCAGCCGTGTTATTAGGCTCATCTTTGTCTGAAGAAAAAAAAATGGTAGAGCCTCACTTAATTATATTGCCATTCCATGATCACCTCTATTGTTCAGACAATATCATCAACCCATTTACAGAAAAACACGAAATTGCATTCATATATTCTCACCAGCAGGTTGTGTAAGTCTCTTAGGCGAAACTGTCAAATCAGAGGAAGGGTGCTGCCTCAGTTTTCCATTTATCTTTTTCAGTGCTTTATTGAGTCGGGACGATGATTCACAACAATACCAACTCATGATTTACTAAAATTTGCCAATTTTCTTACCTGAAAAAAAAAAGGAGGTGCTGAAGTTTTCATTGAAGAATGTAGGAGAGTAGAAGATTTCATGAACTTGCAGAAAAGTCTAATGCAATAAGGGGAAATAGTTACTTGGGCGCCACGCTGCCACTATCCGTTATAATAATAGCAGGAAGACTAACAATTGTTGATATAATCGATCTAGTCAAGTCGAATCGCGTTCACAATATAAAGTATAATTAATGGGGTGTAATATAGGGTTGGGATCTAGGTGAGAACTCGTCATTCAGTGATAGATTGTTACTCCATTGCGCAAGTTAATGAAATTTCTGTCATCATTTGGGTTCTCATGTCAATTTCTTGTCACTCGTCTTTTTATTTTATTTATAGTCGGTTTGTTTGCTTGATTTCCTTTAATTGTTGTTTATTGCTAGTTTGTAATAATCGGAAAGTAGTTCACACAATCTAAGAGTCTTACCAATATGCTAAATTAGTTTGTAACTGCAATTACCATATTTTTTTACATCATGTTCAACACTTTAAAATCTAGACACGTTAGGAAAACATATGCTCTAAGACAACTATGTCTTAACACTTTATAAGTGAACAATTCCAATTGTCAACAATAAGTCAAAATTCATTCATCAATCCACATATGAAAAATGAAAGGGTAGTTACATGTATATTGAAAATCACCTATAACAAGCAAAGAATAGCAAAATAAAGTGGGCTAGTTGCATTGCATGAAAAGTGTAGCATAATACACAGGGTGATCTTCAATGACACCCTTCATCCACGTACGAGTGTACGACTACACAAGTCGTTTGTCATTAAGTTCATCTGATGTGAGGCACATAATGTCTGCAACCACATTGCTCATCATGGGTCGTGTTGATTCTTTTAACCGAAGACACTTGACTGCCAACACGAGTGCTTGACTGAATCCATTTGCTGGAAAATTCCCCTGAAGGAGCGGGTCTGCTAACTCTGGAAACTTGTTCGGGTTCTTTATTTTCTGCTGTGCCTAATAATTAATTGGAGAAAAAACATTATTTTCCAAAAGTCAAAACGATCTAGTAAATTCCAAATATAAATTTGCAGGATAAATTACATGATATGGCTATACACAAGATTAAATGAACTAGTTAGCTTCAAAAATTGAAGGTTGTAGCCCTTGTAGGGTTCGTCGTAGAAAATGGAGTGTTTATGCTAGACAGTAAGAGGAGCAAAGAGTATGAATCAATAGCCTGCAGACTGCAGTCTGCAATGATGCAACTAGGGATAAGGTCCAGTATTGGAATAATTTTCGGCTTAACAATTACTCCCTCTGTCTCAAACATAAAGGTACGTGTAACATATAACGTGTGTTTAGGTAAGTGTGTAAAAGTTTCAATCTGTATTGAAAATTAGGCAGTCATGAAATGAGGATAAAATTTACCCAAGAGATCAGATCCTGTTCCTTAGTTGGCCTTGAGATGTCCTTAGCTTTTCGCCCTGTGACCAACTCTAGTAAAACAACTCCGAAGCTGTAAACATCTGCCTTCACAGTCAAATGACCTGTAGCTATATACTCCGGTGCATGGTAGCCACCAGAGGCAATTCCAATCAATGTTGTGCAAGTATACTCGTCGTCATCATAAGGTTCAAGCTTAGATAGCCAGAAATCAGAGAGCTTAGCATTGAAATCATCATCTATAAAGATGTTGCAGGGTTTCAGATCGACGTAGATAATTGGAGGGCTGGCAGCATGTATACATTCTAAACCTCTGGCTATCCCCAGAGCTATTTTCATTCTTGTATTCCAATCTAAGGGCGGCTTTTGCTTTGATAATCTGCCTGAAATTTCAAAGTTTACTTGCTGATGCAAAATATCACATGAAACAATTAGTAGTTGGCTGCCATGAAATCTAAGAAACCTTTGTGTAAGACCATCTTACCATCATAAGAGCACGTACTTTTTTGAGTCAATACAAGCATATGACTATCAGAAATTCTATCTCCCTTTGGCCTAACCCACCTACAAGGTAGTCTTATGATTGATGGTAAGCAGTTTTATTGAAAAATTTGTTATCTTGTCATGTGTACGAAATTGTGCTTATTTAAGATGGTTCATGTATAAACATAAGATCACAATTTCAGAACAAAGATTATTACCGTGTAGATGTTGGTACAGGGATGATGTCAAAGACAGATATTCGCACACTAATATTCTCTGATCTCCTTCAATACAATATCCTATAAGAGTTATCACATTTGGATGATTAAGGAAGCTCAGTATCTTTAACTGTCGAAGAAATTCTTTGTGTTCTTGTGATTCATGTTGAATCTTTCGATCCCATAGCTCGACAGCTACAATCTAAGATCAAACGATTTAATGTCAGCAGTCTTCCAACAACGAGAAAACATATGATAGGAAGCATTGCATGAATTGGTGATAGAATTCAACTTCGTCAAGTACTTCCTTTGTTCCTAAATGTTCTTCCTAGAATCCTAGTTGTTATGTTTTTGATAGAAAAAAGTCAAACCTAGAAGAACATTTAGAAACGGAGAAAGCGGGAAATGAAGTCCTTGTTAGTACCTCTCCGGTATCGTTGAGTTTCCCTTGATAAACTGGTCCAAAGCTACGTTCATCCATATTCTATACTGAATCTCTGCGTTGCATCAAGTAGCTGCTGTAATGTAAACTCATGTATCTTTCTGGTTGGAGCACTGTCATCATTCGTTCTTTCAGCTGTGTTAGGTTCTTTGTTTTCTGAAGATAGTGAAGCCTCAGTTGATTTAGTTAAAAACAGTTGCAGAAGATATACAATTCAACTAAGATATGCGAACCTGCCTAATCTAGCATGTAGATTAATGCCAATTTAGGATGAATTCTTACAAGTTCAATTTAGAGTTAAAAAAAAAAAAAAAAAAAAAAGGAAAAAGCATTGAGGTAAACTCACCAAGTTGTGAATTTGTCGCGGGCAAAAGAGTGGAATCAGAAGGTGGCCGTCTCACTTTGCTAGTAGTCCTTTGGGATGATGAACCACAACAATACCAGCTCATGATTCTCAATTTTCTTACATGAATTTGTGTTTTATTTTTTTTCCTATCTATTCAAATATCAAACAGTTTTATGTGAATGAAAACAATACAAGTATGTAATATGCTAAAAATGTCAGAAACATATAATTTGTGACAAGAAGAAGGCCTGAAGTTTTTGTGTGGAAGAAGAGTAGACTGCATACAAAGTCTTATGGGGGTAAAGCAGTACTTGGGTGCCACTAACTGTAATAATAATTCCGTTCTGATAATCGATAGTAATATCATATTTCAAAGGTCAGTCAAGTCTGGTTTTAGTCAGATAACATAATTCTAGATATTTTTTTGATAAATTAATTTGCGCAGTTTTTGAATCAGTTAAGGAAAACAGGGGAAAAGTATGAAGTCTAAATATGAAAGCAAAATCAAAAATATAAAATGGAGCCTAACACCACATTTCTGTCTTTTGTTTCTTGTTTGCAATTAATAACTAGAACTAGTATTGAATATTGATACACCAGTTCAATTGTTCACAATGCGTATGTTACGTCTCAGTTTCTGAAAACATTTTGGTTATACACAAGAGGCAATCATCTATAAAGACAGAGAAAACAAACATTATATTTACAAAGCACTCAGTCTGAATGATGTTTATAAATAATGGTGTTCTGGTACTGAATTGGATGCAATTCAACACTATTTTCCATGATCAATTACATCAGCACCCTTCTTCAAGTCAAATGCTCAACATAGGCTTCATGGGGAAGAGATATCATGTTGTCATCAAGGTTGTCGTCGGATGAAATGGACATGATTGCAGCGACTACATCACTCATCATGGGTCGTGCTGTTTGTTGTTCTTGGAGACACATGGCTGCCACTGCGAGTGCTTTGATGAATCCTTGAGACGGAAACTTTCCCTGCAACAGCGGGTCAGCTAACTCCGGAAACTTCTTTGGTTTCTTCAGTATCCGAAGGGCCTAATTAAGAAACGTTGTTTTCCAAAATTTTCATCAGTTCTAGGAAGATCCAAAGTTAAACTTGCAATACGGAATTCATGTAAAGCACTACAAGTAGTTAGCTTCACAAAAAGACTGAAGGTTTCAGGATTCTATATAGAATCTAGTGTGGAATCGCGTACAACAGACAGAAAAAAGTACTATAAGTATGAAAATCAGTACTTCAGTAGGCTGCAAGGATACAAACTAGTATTAAATGAGGCGAGAACTAACCCAAAAGACCAGATTCTGTTCCTTAGGTGGCCTTGTCATGTCAACAGCTCTTCGCCCTGTAATCAACTCTAATAAAAAAACTCCAAAACTATATACATCTGCCTTCACAGTCAAAAGACCTGTTCCTTCATACTCTGGTGCAATGTAGCCCAAATTTTCCATTATTCTTGCAGAAATATATTCCTTATCACCAGTAGGTCCAAGCTTAGCCCGAAATCATAGAGCTTAGCATTGAAATCACTGTCTAGTAAGATGTTGGAGGGTTTCAAGTTGCGGTAAATGACTGAAGGAATGGCTTTATGGTGGATAAATTCTAATGCACTCGCAGTCCCCAAAGCTATTTTTATTCTCGTGTACCAATCTATGGGAGGCTTTTCCTGGGATGATCTATCTGAAATATTAAATTTTATCACAAGAAAAGTCAGCTTGAAGCAATCTTTGTCAAAATGATTAAGCATTAGTTTTCGTGTGTTTTGAATGCCTAGAAAAATCGAGTTGTATTTTTCTTATCTATATGTATGAGGAAATGCTCAGTTAAGTAGATTCATGCTAGAACACAAAAAATCAATTTGTTTGTTCAATGAGAATTATCAATGTTCTTCCTAAGAAAATTATTAAGCGTGATAAGTACAATAGTTTCAATTGTCTGCTGGGTTGTACATCTGATAACAATGTACAAGAAGTCGAAAAATTATTACCATGTAGATGCTTGTCTAAGGATCCCAAAGACAGATATTCATGCACTAAAAACCTCTCATTTCCATCTTCAGCACAGTATCCTATAAGATTGATCAAATTTGGATGATGAAGGATACTCAACATCATCACCTGTACAAGAAATTCTCTGTTTCCTCGCGGTCCATTCCTGTCAAAATGCTCGATAGCTACGATCTAATGTTAAACCATCCAATGTCAGTCTTCCAACACAAAGACAATGTATGATAGAAGGCAAAGCAAAAAATACAGCAACAGAATTTGCTTTGCATACTAAGGTTCATGATTGTACCTCTCCAGTTTCTCCGAGTTTTCCTCTGTATACATTTCCAAAGCTACCTATATCTACCTGACAGTCTGGACTAAAATTTTGTGTTGCATCATATAGCTCTTGAAAAGTAAAACATTTCGTGATGAGTGAACCACTGTCATTGCTAGCTCTTTCAGCCGTGTTAGGCTCATTGTTGTCTGACGATAAAACTAAAACGCCAACTTTTAAGCCAAAATCTCTCATTTCCATCTTCCGTGCAACAATCTTTTTGATCATACGTACTCATACTTGCAGATATTTTTATCTGTTTTACTAAAATTACAACACTTGATATACACAAGTAAGGTGTCATAAAGTGTTGCTATTTTCATTGTTCAAATCCTACATACAGCTTATGTGATATGTAAAAAAAAGACGAAATTGAATTCATACTCACCAAGTTGTGATTGACTAGGCAAAAGAGTAGAATCGGAGGAATGACGTGATCTGACTTTGCTATTGATCCTTTTCAATGTTTTGCTGAGTTGAGATGATGAACCGCAACAAAAGCAACTCAAGATAATATGATACGTATGTCACTTTAAATGAGGCAATGAATGAAAACAGGCCACCTTTCCAATTTGCTTACCTGAATTTATTTGTGTAATATGGTTTTGATCAGGCGAGAAACAAAAGGGGTGTAGGAGGTGATGAAGTGTTCGTGGTAGAAGAGTATAAGACTGCATAAAGTTGCAGGAAAGTCTTGTGCAGGGAGGGAAAAAATAAATTAAACTTGGGTGCCACTAATGGATGGGTAATAGCAGGGTCAATTAATCATATCGGTATAAAATTTAACATTCAGTTGTCATATTCATAGAAAGTTATTGATTGTGACAAATGGCCAAAATTGGTATAAGACTTAATTTGTGCCACAAATGACTGTAAAAAAAAATTACAAGGTACAACCGGTTGTATGGTGCATGAGTTGTTATTTTATTTTTATTTTAAAAATAACATAATATTCTTTTACACTTGGCACTATACTTTTTTCTCCCTTAAATTTTATTCATATTTATCACATACTCAGTGTAAAAGCAAGTTAGAAAAAAAAAACATAGAGAGTGCATTATTAAAAGTACAGTAGATAAATTTTCAGTTATAAGTTAACAAGGAGAGCAGGATAGAAATGATAGGAAAACAAGCATGATATTCTGATCTAATACAAGGGTGATCTTCATTCTTTAATGCAATGTTCCATGATCTGACTCAATGACGCACTTCTCATGGTCTTGTGCTCTACACGACTACACAAGTATGCCATTATAGTTGTCGGTTGTGAGGCACATAAGGTTAGCAACTACATCGCTCATCATGGGTCGTGCTGATGGTTCTTCACGAAGACACTTGGCTGCTATCGCGAGTGCTTGGTTGAATCCCTTAACTGGAAATTCACACTGAAGGAGAGGGTCAGCCAGCTCTGGAAACTTATTTGGCTTATTTAATCTCTGTTGGGACTAATAATTGAAGAAGGCATAAGTCACATGTTCAAACAAATTTTCAATGAGCTAGTTTGCTGAAAAAATTTGCACAAAATTGTTAGATACTTGTATTAAATTGTCTAATTTCTGGATTTGACTTTAAATTTTGGGCTACATCAGAAAATTTTGTGTTCATTTGATTTTAGAGCTTTAAGTCTAAGAGATTACTTAGCATACTAATGCATAATAGCACCAGTTCAATCTTATGGTAAGGTTGACTAATAAAGATTGTAACAGTTACAACCAATGAGATGAAGAAAAGTACTAGGGGCAGACATGTATATAATCATAGTCAAGAAATGAGGAAAAACTAACCCAAGTGACCAGATTTTGCTCCTTAGATGGCCTTGAAAGATCAACAGCTCTTCGCCCTGAGATCAACTCTAATAAAACAACTCCAAAGCTATATACATCCGTCTTCACAGTTAGAAGACCTGTTATTTTGTCCTCTGGTGCAAAGTAGTCATGGGCTCCCAACATCACCTTCTCGAGGTTAATTCTCTTGTCACTGAAAGGTTCAATCTTAGCTAGCTTGAAATTAGAGAGCTTAGCATTAAAATCACAGTCTAGTAAGACGTTGGAGGGTTTTAAGTTGAGGTGGATAATTGGAGGGCTAGATTGGTGTATACATTCTAAACCTCTGGCTACCCCCAGAGCAATCCTTATTCGTGTATACCAATCTAAAGGCGGCTTTTGCTTTGGTGATCTGTCTGAATAAGATTTAAGATTCTACTGTAAGTGAATTCAGTCTGAAGCAAATTATAGTACTGATGCAAACTGACAACGTATCATAAGATCAGACCATATTACCGTGCAGATAGTGGTGCAGGGATCCCATAGGCAGATATTCATGTACTAAAATTCTCTCTTCACCTTCAACACAATATCCTATAAGATTTACCAGATTTGGGTGATTAAAAAGGCTCATCATCATCACTTGTACAAGAAATTCTCGGTGCCCTAGTAATCCATCCAAGTTTAATTTCTTGACAGCCACGATCTAAGATCAAACAACTCAATGTCAGACTTCTAGCAACAGAAAAAATTATGATAGGAAGCATTGCATATAATAACGATAACATACTTTGCTTCATGTAAAAGACAAAACAGAAGCAGAACATAAGTTCCATGTTAATACCTCCCCAGTTTCTTGGAGTTTCCCTCTGTAAACTTTACCGAAGCTGCCTTCACCCACCAGACATTCTAGACTGAAGTTCTGTGTTGCATTAGCTAGCTCTTTAAAAGTAAATTCTTGTACCACGGTGGTCTTATCACTATTGTAGAAAGCTATTTGAGCTGTGTTCAGCTGGTTGGTGTCTGAAGTACAAAATGGTGTAGCCGCACTTAATTAGTGGAAAGCATTTGCCAAAAATGTATTTTGACTAAGATATAGGAGAGAACTCTATTCCATATATCAATTATCATTGATCTGGCTCTGATACCACTTGACACGGATTTTAATCCATGTTTAAGATGATTTGCTCACATCATTAGTTTACTCAAAGTCATGGTTATTGACGGTTTTCATAAAAAGTCTCAAATTTAAGAATCTTCAAGTACATGTGTATTTAGGCTTTAAAAAGCTCATCAAATCTTCAATCCTAAATCAAAAACTACAAAATAATTAAATCATCTCTTGAACATAAGAGGTTATCGATAAAAAGATCTGAAGAAGGTCTAAGCACTTCGATAAGAAGTGTACAATTAGTAATTTGTCGATTGACTAAAGCATAATGCTCTATAAGCACAAGATAAGTAAATCTTATATTGGTAAATCATACTGATATTTTACACATTTTGCAATAATTCAGCTAGAAATTAAAGAAGCTATAGGATGAATCACATGATGCAATATTGCAATTAGTTTAGGTTCGACACAATATAAAACAATACAATTCTTAGCACAAATATGGACAGTCTAACAAATATTCCATGATTAACATCAAAGCAGTATGAAATCAATAGTGGAAAGAAGAAAAAATAAATGAATATGCATTCATACTCACCACGTTGTGATGAACCACAACAACAGAAGTTCATACTGACCCAGTTCAAATTTCCAGTTGAGGCAACAAACCCAGTTTCCCAATTAGCTTACCTGTAAAAAAATTCTTGAATCCATCATAAAACAGTATATGTTCATATAAATAGATGAACTAATGCAAGTATCAAGGTTAAGCAATTCATTAGAAGTAAGGCTAATTAGATAGCATGGGTTTGACCAGATGAGAGAAAATAACAGGGGAAAATGCTGAAGTTTTCGAAAAACTCTATGGTAGTTGCAGAGAAAGTCATGCAGGGAGGAAGGAAATAACTTGGGTGCCACAAAGTACCAACAGTTATGTAAAATATTCATTAACAGGATCTGGGAGACCCGTCAAACAAACATTCCTACTGGATTCAGGTTGGATAAAATAAAATTTGGGTTTTCTTTTTTCCGAACATGTCAGTTTATAGTTATGAGTCGAATAATGTTTGTTCAAAGATCACAGCGTTTGGGCTCGGGTTAATATAGAGAAAAAGATGTGTCAATAATGCTAGAAAGCAAATTAAACTTTGTAACTATCATAGCATTATAATAATATCTGACCTCCATAATCGTATGATTGCCCTGCTTTCATGTTTACATTTATCACTAAATCTACTATCCCCAGTGACAACCCATGACACAGTAATGAAATTGTTGCAATAACAAAATTTTGAAAATATAATTTCACCGCGTGTGTTACAGGGAATCAAGGATTAGTAATATATTGAAATTGAAAAATGAATCAATCACATCTAACAAAATCTTTCTTTGAGGGATGATAAGTTAATACAGAGTACTTGAAATGGTTATCGCCCTCATTGGCAAAATAGACCAATAACAAGCAAGAAAAAAGACAAGCATCACCCCCATTGTTCTTACTTGTTTCTAAAGGCTACTTGACAAAAGAAAAATAACACCAAAATTTTACTGAGTATAAAAGGGGGCGATAATACATAATTAGATATATTTAGCAGGGTAATATCGCCCCAATTTTCCTAACAAGTTTATACACAAGAGGCAATCTGAAAAGAGAATGGAAGAGAGAGAAACTATATTTACAATCTGCTCAGTCGGAATGATGCTCACTTCATCAGATGAACTAGTGCTGGTGCTCTGCAACACTATTTTCCATGATCAAATTCATTGACAACATTCACCATACTATTATGTTCTATACAGGTTCGGGAGGAGGAGAATGTATGCTGTCATCTAGGTTGCCTGATGAGAGGTACATTATGGCAGTGATCACATCACTCATCATGGGTCGAGCAGTTTGTTCTTCTTGAAGACACATAGCTGCCACCGCAAGTGCTTGGTTGAATCCGTTTGCTGGGAAATTCCCCTGAAGAGCAGGGTCAGCTAACTCTGTAAACTTACTTGGTTCCTTCAATATCTGATGTGCCTAATTAATTGGAGAAGCAAACATCATTCCTCAAAGATTTCAGTTCTAAATTTACAGCATATATCACATGTTCAAAACAATGTTTAATGAACTAGTTAGCTTCCCAACCAAAAAATAGACTGAAGATTTCAGGGTTAGCATATACTTCGTATGATATAGATCCCATATCTATGAAAAAGTTGCTGGAATGTAGGCATGTATAAGTTATTTATCAGAGAGATGCACAAGGTTATGTAGAAATATGATGACATCACCATTTTCTTATGCAATTTCACACACAATCCTTTCAACCATAACTGATTTAACTAATTCATTTGTTTATATCAAGTCATATGACTCATATCCTATCAATGAAGAAAAATATATGTGATACATCCAGGAACTTGAATACACTTGCCCAAGCTTTCCAATTTTGTCTTTAGATGATTAAAAAGTAAAAAAGTTTCAATCAATTGGCAGTCTTATTTTCAATACCATGAAATGAGAGGAAAACTTACCCAAGAGACCAAATTTTGCTCCTTGGTCTGTTTTGTGATATCAACAGCTCTTCGCCCTGTCACCAACTCCAGTAAAACCACTCCAAAGCTATATACATCTGCTTTCATAGTCAAAAAACCTGTTTTTTGGTACTCTGGTGCAATGTATCCATAAGTACCAACTACACTTGTAGAAACATACTTCTTTTCACCAGAAGGTCCAAGTTTAGATAGCCCAAAGTCAGAGAGCTTAGCTTTAAAATTTTTGTCTAGTAAGATGTTGGAGGGTTTCAGATTGCGGTAGATGACTGGAGGGCTGGCATTATGGTGCATATATTCTAAACCCTTAGCAATCCCCAGAGCAATTTTCATTCTTGTATACCAATCTAAGGGCTTTTGCTTGGATGGTCTGTCTGAAAATTTCAAGAGAAGTATGAAGCAAATTAATTGGTGGCAGCATTTATCTTTACATAGTGACCTATTATATGCTTTCATTCAGGAAGACCTAGATAAGTGAATTTAAAACCAACAAACAATCTTCTTTCATTTCTTCTCTACGGGGGCGGGGGGATACCGGGGGCATATGGAGGAAAGATTTCAAAAAAATTAAATTCTACCTCCGTTTCATATCCTGTGCAACAAAAGTCATGGCACTGAAACCTGAGTAAAATTTGTTTGTGAGTGTTAAATGGAGAGACAATGATATATACTCACGTGATAAGGAGAGAGATAGAGAAAAATGACAACTTAAAAAGGAAAGAAACCATTGTTGCACTTGCACATAATGCGTAGCATCCATTTTTTAGTAAATGTTGGACATAATATGAAACGGAGGTAGTAAATAAGATTACATGAGTTTGCTAGGTTTTGCATCAACAAAATACCACGTGAAGGAAATTGGCAAATTATTACCATGTAGATGCTGGTCCAGGGACCCCAAAGGCAGATATTCATGCACTAAAAATCTTTTATCTCCCTCCGTACAATATCCTATAAGATTGATTAAATTTGGATGATTGAGGAAGCTCAGCATCATCACCTGTAAAAGAAATTCTCTCTGTCCTCGTGATCCATATCTGTCTAGTTGCTCGACAACTATGATCTAAGATCAAACAATTTAATGTCAGTCTTTCAATAACATGAAATCATATGACATGAGATATTGCATAAAAATAGTGATAGAGTTTACTTAATGTAGAATATAGGAAGTGATCAGATAGTAAAGTCCATGGTAATACCTCTCCAGTCTCTTTAAGTTTCCCTCTGTAGATTTTTCCAAAATTGCCTACATCCACAAGATGCTCTGGACTGAAGTTCTCTGTCACATCAGCTAGCTCTTGAAAAGTAAAAGCTTGTTGCTTGATGGCATGATCACTGCCTTTGTTTGCAGATATGGTAGATTCTTTGTCGTCTGAATTAAAAAATATAAAAATTAAGTTACTTACCAGTTAAAAATATTAAGATTAAGTCATGAACTCGCCTTCTTAGCATAATATCTAAAGCTTGTCTAAGAGATTTTTTAAGTAGAGTTAATAACTCGTCAGATAACTAAGGCAGTAAGGCATTATATTGCTTAAGCTCTAGTAGTAGCAAATCAAACTGATACCGTAAACCATTTCACAGCAGACTAATTGAACGATTGCCATTGAGAATTGACTATTGTTAAAAATCTTGTGCCATGACATTTATGAGAAAAAAGTACAAGTATATACTTCTGATGTCAAGTAGGGTGCACACAGCACATTACATTAACTTCTTACTATATGCATTGCAAATAAAGATGGTGTTTTATAGGCGTTTTGGGGACACCTACACATTACAGGACGTCTTTACAAAAGAAGTTGCTCTGGTACATGAAATTTAAAATCAATTGAAGAAAATTCCACAGTGAAGTTGTGTACTATTGTGTTAAAGACCAAAAACATGAGCAATAATAAAATCCCACCAAATTGACTTCAAAGCAGTATGAATATATACACCCAAAATATTGCATAATTCAATAAGAAAGAGAACAAATTTGCATTCATACTCACCAAATTGTGATGGTCTTCTAGGCAACAGAGATGAAACAAAAGGCGGTCGTCTTGCTTTGCCATTAACCCTTCTGAATGCTTTCCTGAGTTGGGATGAGCCATAAAAAAAGCAACTCATGATCACTCAATTCAAACTTCCAAATGAGGCAACAAACCCAGTTCCCCAATTTGCTTACCTTACAGAAAATTCTCTGAAACAAAGTATCAAACAGTTTATGTGCATAAAAAACAACTTTTGTAATTATGTAATTGACCAATGCCAGAAACCTCAATTTGTAATTATCTATCAAAAACTAAGACCTTATAGTAACTAAGAAGTACCCACAAAATTTAAGAAAGGATAACTGTTCAGGGTCAATTCAAACTCCATAAAACACGATCAATTGAATTTAGGCCAAGAAATTCTTCTGCATTTATGTGATTGGGTTTAGTCTTAGACTTAATGGGTTTGTAGAAATGAAGGGTTTTAGAGGATTTACAAAATCTAAAGTCAAAATCAAAGTCAAGGCGTGTGATATGGGTTTGAAAGAGAGAAAAAGAGAAAAAGAAATGGTGGAAGAATTCGTGGAACAAGACTCCATCAGGTGGTTGCACAAAAAGCCTAACGCGTGGAGGGGGAAAAAGTAGGGCGCCACTAACTGATTTTCTAACATATTTTCCAACTAAATTCGTTGCAATGTTTTGACTTTTAAGCATATTAATTTTTGATGCAATGTTTTAACTTTTACGCATATCAATTTTTGATGCAATGTTTTGACTTTTACGCATAATAATTTTTAAAAATGCATATTTATTGTGAAATTTGTAAAAGGTAATAATATGTGGGATTTCGATTTTTAATTTTTCAGCATTGATTTCTCTTCAACTCTCATTCTCGCTTAGTGTCATGGCTTCACCACTGGCTTTTCAACCTTTTCTACCGGTATGTCGTTACCCTTAGTCTTAAAGGAGTCTTGATAAGCCTAAAATAATAATAATAATAATAATAATAATAATAATAATAATAATAAATTATAAAAAACGGGTGAAAGTTGGTGGAAAATTAATCTGGCAAAATTCTAAATTGAGTATAAGGAAAACTTAATTACCCTAACAAATGAGGGAGTAGACTTCTTTGTATCAACCATCTAAATCTCTTTGGATAATCAATCAATAAATATACTTATAGATATCACACCATTAATGAAAATAGTCCACTTATACTAATTACATAACAAATACTATCTTCATGAGAAGCGCTCCCATTAGATAACATAACCTGTAAATTGCATTATTTTGACATTTGTATAAAAATCACACTTCTGCAAATGTGACCTCCTTTTGTTTTGTCTCTATAACCCATAAGACCATCACAATTTGGTGAGTATGGATGCAAATTTGTGCTCTTTCTTATTAAATAATGCAACTTTTTGGGTTTATTTTTTCATAATGCTTTGATTATAGTTTGATGGGATTTTATGAATTGCTCCAGTCTAACATAATACTTCCTCCGTTTTTATTTACTTGACTAACATTCCTTAAATGAAAATGTCATATTACTTGACCCATACTATTTGCGGTAAGACTTTGGTGTATAAATTCTCTAAATTACCCTCACAAAATGCACATGGGGGTAACTTTTAGGGGTAATAAGGTAAGGCATGTGCAACATGGGCCACAAAACTACACTTTTTCTCTCATCTTCTTAAATATTGTGCCCAAGGCTATGGGTCAAGTAATTAGAAATGGAGGAAGTATATGGTATTGCAACTTCATTGCGGAATTTTTCTTTCACTTGATTGTAAACTTCATGTAACAGAGCAACTTCTTTTGGAAAAGGTCCTCAAATGTGTAGGTATCCTCGGACACGAAAGGAGTATTAATTAATTTGAAATGCATGTAAAAATCACATTTCAATTGGTGTAAATAATGTTTATTTCTACTTAATTTTTCTACTTTAACTCTCTTATCTAACGCCCTCAAAGCGTTTGTAGCTTTTGCCTAACAAATAAACTAATAATTAACTATCTAGAATCTCATTAGAGAAAATAAAAATATATTTAACCTTTATAATATCTTGTTACATGCAATGCCCCAAGGTCTCTAATTTTTTTTTTTTTTATTTATTTTTTTCTGATATGTATTCCCTATTATTTTTAAGTTTCTCAATTTGCTTGGCACGTACATTTGTTAATGCGGAACATATGGAACTTTAACTAATAATATATTAAATTATCAATAAGTAAAATTTATAAATGTATATATAATTGATATTTGGAAACTATATATAGATTCTAATAAGTACAGAAAGGATTATAATTAATGTTATGTACGTATAAATCACAAAATTTGGTCAAAGTTAAATGTGGTAAATAATGCAAAAATAAAGTAGGCACTAAAAGACGGATAGGTGTCTTAAAGTCAATTTCAAAACTTAGCAACTTCATAAAAGTTATGTTAAACCAAAAATCATGACCAATGAGGGAGGATGTAGAATTTAATGTCTTAATTGCTAAGAATCTCATTGGATATACTAGTAATAAATGTATTTGAATGTTATACTATACTATACATGCATTCCATGTATGTATAACCTACCTATTTTGACCACATAACAAATAAAGTAAAAATCAACACACATATGGAAATAGATTGCTCGTTGTAGCCAGAAATTCGAATAAGTTACTCAATACCCAACTAAAAGTCAATTATTTTCTCTCTTATTTAGCCCTATTGAATGTGGTCTAATCTTTAACCGATTCATCTGTTACTATGCTTATTTAAAAATTTGTACATGTATATACATAATGTGGTGTATTAAAATTCAAAACAACCACAAACTATCTTCATTCATCCTCTCCCCAAAAAGCACCACACAACACAAGAAAAATGAAACCACATGGATTTCTTGTACATTTTATGCTCCTAATTCTTGCAATTATCATTATCTCTTCAAATAATAATGGAACAAATCAACCCAAAATATATGTCAATGCAATAGCCTTTGCAAAATATGTAGAATACCATGTAGCCGTTATAAATAATTTGTCTAATGATACCCTTGATGTGCATTGTCAAGGGGATGATAGAGATTTGAAGCTTCAACATGTGGCAGTTAATACCAATTTCACATTCAATTTGCGCACTGCCTTCTTTTACACCGTAAGTTATGAATGTGTTATTGATTGGGTTGAAGGTGGTGAAATCAAATTTGAGTCGTTTAGGGATACTTCTAAGTTCCTTGACCTTGGTTGTGGTGGGCGACATTGTTTTTGGAAGGCGACTAATTTTGGGCTATATTTATACCAAATTCAACAACAAGCGTATGTGTTTAAATTTGGGTGGCCGGGTAAGGGAGGGAAAAATTTTGCATTAGATGAAAGTTAAATTTTATAAATGTTCAGTAAAACTAAGCTCAGTATAATGACAATAAGTTTGTATGTTAAACTAAACAAACATATGTATTCAGAGCTTATATTATCAAAAAGTACTTCGCAATTAAGGGGAGACTTAAATCGTCATTATAAATTTAGAGTTATGTTTAGTTGAATTTTTAATGAGTCTGGGGGTTGTTAAACGACGCCCTCATTTTATCAGGTAACGCCCGCATTTAAACATGAATAGACAAACATACCCTCGCCTATATTCCACGTTTTTCTTCCCTTTAACTCAATGAAACATTCTCTCATCCCAACAAACCACCACCATTCACCAGTGATCGAGGGTGAGGTCATCGCCGAAAATTTATGCCGTGTTTTTTTGGGTGTGGGCCAAAGGCCTAATTTTTTTAAAAAATCCAAGGAGAAAACGCCTAGAATTTTCGAAATTCCTCGGGAGAAACTAAAATTCTAGGCGTTTCTCCCCATGGAGTTTCGAAAATTTAAGGCGTTTATTTTCCATTTTTTTCTGCGGTTTTTATTTTTATCAAAACTTTTGATCCCGAACTTGAACTAAGACAAATAATATACCGTTGGAAAGCTCTATATGTCTACTTTCCAACCCATTTATAATCAGGTCAACATCAATTTTAGATATTAAAATATGACCGAAATAGTTCAAGGGTATCAGTTTTGGACCGAGTTTAGTATTTCAGCCATATCCTAAAATCTAGAAATGATTTTAACTTGATTCCAATTGGGTTAGAAAGTAGACACCCAGAGATTTCCAGCGATATATTATTTGTCTTAATTCGATTTCGGGATCAAAAGTTATGATAAAAACAAAAAAGGCAAAAAAAACTGGGAAAAAATGTCTAAAATTTTCAAAACTCCATGGGGAGAAACGCCTAGAATTTTAGTTTCACCCTAGGAATTTCGAAAGTTCTAGGCGTTTTCTCCTAGGTTTTTTTTTGAAAAACCTAGGCGTTTGGCCTTAACCAAAAAAAAAAAAAAAAAAAAAACGACTTAAACTTCTGGCCTCAGTCGGTGATGGTTGGTGGTGGTTTGTTAGGATGAGAGAATGTTAAAATATTGAGTTAGAGGGAAGAAAAATGTGGTATATATGCGAGGGTATGTTCATCCATTCATGTTTAAATGCGAGCGTTACCCGGTAAAATGAGGGCGTCATTTAGCTTTTTAATTCATTAAATCAAGCTTATAGAATAAGATGTGATTTGACCTTTTATTTTTGTGTAAATCAAGATAGTGGCAGAAAATCATGATACTAATTAAAAGAAGGGATTTGTTATAAAATATATTAAATGTGGGTGTTCATTATTGCTTGTAACTCCCTAGTATTATGCCACCTATTGTAACCCCCATATGTCATTACCTCTATTGTAACCCCCACTTAAATGAAATCTTAATTTTTCATGAAGGTTACATTATGTTCATCAAGTATATATATAGTATGGGCTAATCAAATGGGAACAACAAGAAAGTACTATCTACATCTTTCTCTATAATATTCTCCCCTTTTCCTTATTTTTATAATAGTATTTGATTTCATATCTTATAATTTCATTTCTTTCAAATTTATTTCTCAATTTTTCAATCATATTAGATACTACTTCTCAATAATTTCATTAGTTTATATCAGTTGAATTCACTTCAAATTCATTCAATCCAAATTAGAAGAATAGGATAGATCTTAAATAAATAAACCGATTTCCATGTATTTACAGCCACCACTAACCTACTAGATAATTTGATTTATACTCGTACTCCATATTATATATACTTGGATTAAGGACATTAAAATAAACACTTCCCTTTTTTTAATGCAAAATCTAGACACACCTTTTGGGAACAAATTAAGTCATTAATAATTCTATCCAAATTATTGCAAAAAAAAAAGGTCTCATAATTGAGGAGTGTAAAGTAAAGGTACTTGTTGATGCTAAACAAATTAACTTTTCCTATTGTTTTACCCAAAACTCTACAAATACAAATAATTTTATTTATTGCATATAAAAGTACAGTATAAATTAACCGAAAAAGCCTAGTTAAAGAGGACTAGACGTTGAGACTTGTGACTTTTGTAATCTATTACGAAGTACACATCATATCATATGTATCACTAATATATAAAGGCGGTCTTGCAGCCAGGCCACGAGACAACAACACTTGGTATTTCATTTTTTCGCCAAGTGTCGAGCTACGTAGGCGACAAATAGGTTTTATTGTGATAAAGAATTTTTTGGATAAATTTTTTAAGATAGAATTGTTGTGTATAGTTTTATTATCGATATACTTCTAATATTTCATATATACAAAATT